CCCCCATGTGTTGCGGTTCACTCCTTCATTCAATCTTGAAACGACAACTTCAGCTACATGTCCTTCCTCACGGACCACGGGCATCATTGTTGTTTTAGGATACGATAAATAATCTCTCCCAAAATAAACCAAAGACGAAAACGGTGGTGCCTCTGCAAGCAAACAGTAACGCTAGCCAGCTAACGTAGAAAAACAGTTTTAGAAGATCACTCTGAGTGACTCAAGTTAGTTATCTGAATGAAGAGTGCAGTGGATACTAGCATGATCAAGGAAAACCGGTGGAACATACCCCCCAATGCTCCAGCATGCATGGAGAAGCATCTGTGCGCGGCGCAGTACAGAGCAGGTGGGTAACTAACAATGCGAGCGAGCTGAGGGTCACACAGGTAAACACGTGGGGCAGATAGCTGGTTATTATTAGTCTGTCTACATCTGTACTGATGTGCAGGGGTCCTCTGGTAAAATGGCGCAAATACAGTCCGCCAAAGTGTTAAAAAGTCCCCCTGCAGTCAAAAATGTGTTTTTTTTTCTTGCTCCTACATTTGGATGCTTGAGCTTCACTGTGCAGGAGGATGTGTGTGCAGAGGTTGACACTGCAGGGATGTTTTGACGTTGATCTGCTGAAAGTGTGCTCATCTGATTTCTTTAAGGGCGGGGCCTACGAGCATGAGCTGTGGCATTACAAATGGTTTGGAAGTCAGCCCTGGTCCAATTTGCAACTCATTCAAGTGTGATGTTGTAACTTGAAGAATGGGCTTTACTATGAAGTAGAAGACATCATGTGTGCAGCAGGAAAAACTTTAGAAATGAAACATTTAGCATATTCATGGTTTCTGGATTTGAATGTGGAAAGAAAAAAACATATCAGACACACATTAATGTTTCCTGCAGACTATTTGCATATATGTCTCAACATATGCCTGGAGGGATCTCTAAAGCAATTCTATTTTTGTTTCTGAAAATTGTGCACGTGTGTTGTTGCAGATGGCTAGACGATAAGCAAATCTGTCAAAACAAACTGCGTTTTACAGATTAAACATGTGCTGCTCTGTGGGTTTGTTGCTAGCTAAACTGAAGAGTGGTTCTCAACATTCAGTATAGTTATCTATCAAGGGAAAATGTTCTGAATGTTTTTCTCGTCGTCACAGATGGCACCTTGCTGCTGGGTGCCTCCAGCCTCAGTGGCAGGAGCTGGCAGGGATCTGTGTGGATCTACAGTGACCCTGTGAAGGCCCCTAATGAGGAGCTCTGCAAAGCTGGTGTGCAGACTGAGGCTGGAGTCACAGATGTCAAATGGGTGTCAGAAAAGGGTGTTGTTGTTGCATCGGACTCAGGTAAGAAGCAGATTCATAGCATTTATGAATCAGTTGCTGGTCTTGAGCCTTGAATGTTAAACTGGACTTTGTTTGACTGGCAGGTGCCTTGGAGCTCTGGGAACTGGCAGAGGACGAGCGCCTGCTGGTGAATCGTTTCACCAAATATGAGCACGACCACATCGTCACCACAGTGAGCCCGGTTACTGGAGCCAGCAGTGCTGTCACTGGCAGCATGGACTGTCGGTTAGACCCTATTTTATAACAATGCATACACAGCTGCCTGAGGTGTCACTGCTGAACAGAAGCATGTCGATGGTTTATGTTTTAAACTTCAGCTTTTTGATAACTGTTTCTCTCCTTTCTCATCGCAATTAATCTTTTTAACTTTTTTCACTACAGAATTAAAGTTTGGGATCTCAGTCAGGAGTCAGTTGTCACTACCTACAATGGTAAGGGAATAGCTACTCTGTCTGAATATTTAGGGAATATATGGAAGTCTGATCTAAATCTGTCTACTAAAGATAAGTAGAAAGCTCTTTGTAAATAATAACAGTTCCCTTGGTATCCTTAAAAGCTGAAAATAGTTAATTGTTAGTTAATAACATTTGCTTTGGTTTAGTTCAGCCAAGTGAATCTCTTTTGGTGCAGGACTAGGAACCTTTCAAATGTTTTGCTAAAAGCAGTGACATAATTTCATCTCTCATTAACTACTATTCTTACTCAAATTAAGACAGTTTGGACACATTTGTCCCACAGTTGGCAGTTATCTTCCTTTTAATGGAAATTAAGAAGATTTGCTGTTAAAATTAATTTGAATCATTCTTCAGCTTTATAAAATTATATAAAATATACACTAATTTCTAGTGATTTGCAAAGTATGATTACATAACAAATGCTCTTATTGGAAGAATGTGTTTGTTTTAAACATCAGGGATAATTAAAAATAATCATCCATAAAGATGTAAAAACCGTAACTGAATATGTCTCTTCACTTGTTTCTTCCTCCAGTGCACACACAGCCAGTTAGTTGTGTTGCCTGCAGTCCTACAGATGAGTCTCTCTTCATCTCCTGTGGTCAAGTAAGATACTGAAACAATACCTAACAGACAATAACTGATGGACACTGATGGAGCTAGGTTGTGGAGAACCCAACTGCATAAATGTCCATATTGAAAATGATAAACTGATTTATGAAAGCTACAATAAATAGAGAACTGTAAGACTACACTAGTCTTCCTTCAAACTCAACCTGATTTTATCCTCCATCCTTCAGGATGGCCGTGTGCTGATGTGGGACAAGAGGAAGCCAAACAAACCCGCCTCTAGAATAGGTGAGTAACATATCACAGCTTAAACAATCAGGCTCAGACCTTTTTGCCAGGTTCTTACTGGAATTAATCTTGCTACAGAGGAAATTAATATCACTGAAGTGTCTAACCAGCTACCCACTGGTTGTCTGTTTTTTAACAAGCCTTGATCTTGTGACTGTTAATGATTTCTGTCTTTGTTTTTGTCTCTCAGATATAGAGTCCCCTAGCTGCTCCCCTACAACTGTAGCTTGGCACCCCCACCACAGAAGCACCATAGCTTTTGGTAAGGCCCAGCAGCAGATTATTGATCGACAGAGGCATTAAATTGCCACTCCCTGTGTATTCAATGTGTTTTATAATACTTATTGTGCCTCAGGTGATGAGCTGGGTAGAGTGACTGTGACAGATTTCCTGGGAACGGAGCCGCCCCGGGTGCAGAACGTCCACAGCCGCAGAGTTAATGGGCTTGCTTTCTCTACACACAGGTAAACATAAATCCTATTATCATTAGCTCTTATATTGGTCCTCTAGAAAATGTTAATTCCTTTTTTTATTTCCATCCCAGTGCCTCCATGCTAGCCTCCATAAGTGATGATTGCTCCCTCGCTGTTTTGAACTCTGAACTGCAAGAAATGTGAGTCTTCGCACGTCTTACTAAAACACCTGGTTAATCTTCCGTACCATTTATTAAAAAAAAAAAAAAAAAATATGCTCATCATATATTCTTCTTCTGTAGACTCAGAGATCGGCGACACCAGGACTTTGTCAGAGGTGTTTCCTGGCTCCACGGTGGCTCTAACAGTCTAACAACCATAGGCTGGGATCACCTTGTGCTTCACCACACGGTGGATCCAGCTGCAGGAGCTCCCAACTCCTCCTCTTAGATCAGACGATGCTCGCACACCTTGGAAGAGCACAGTTTAAAATACTTTCCCCCTTATTTTTGAGGGGTGTCCATGCGTATCTTAAAAGTTATATACAATATGTCAGTCAAGAAATAAGGATTTAACTGTTTCATTGTCATGTAGTACCCCAGATGTGTGCACAATATTTGGACTTCTGCTCTCCCAGTCCTGGGCTTGGTGCGTTGCTATATTCTCTCTATCCACGTCTTTCATACTGTATAGCATTTCCATGTGTAACTACACCTGAGGCAACCCATTTGTATTGCATAATTTTACATTAAAGGTAACTTAATGTTGTGATAGCAAGAACATTTCGACATTTCTTTGTGTTTCCTGGAATTTTGTATGCTAATAGCTATAGTTTGAAAGTACAGGGGAAGAGACGAATTGCACATTGTGGTTATATGGGAGTTAAGGCCATATAATATATACTGATAAAACCATGTGACAGAGGCCGACCTTGTTTACCCACTGCTGGGTCAAAAGAGGGTAGTGTGTTTATGTGTGACAAGTGTGGGTGGTCAGCTGAGAAGTTAACAAGATTACAAGTGAGATTTGCACAGCGAGTCGCAGGTAAGATGTCATTGCTGTGGTCTGACGTTGTCGACTGGGCTTAGATGCCATAATCATTTTCACACGTCACCAGCACTATGTGTTGTGGCCAATATATAATTTAACCAGACACCAGAAGTTGGTCCTGCAATAATGTAATCTTTGTCCCAGTTAGTTGTCCCTTTTTTAAAGAGTTTTGATACAATTTAATTACCAACGTCATCAAAGATAGAGAAATCACCATTAGCTCATCATGTAGAAGTTCAAGAACATTATCTTCCTTCCATAATTAAAGTACAAGGTGCAGTACAGTTGGTTCTGTCGCTCGAAAAAGCAATGTCCTTTGTCGCTCTAAATTGAGTAATAGCAAAATTATTCTCCAGGAAATAGCTGTGGGGTTTGCATATGGTGTCTAACTCTAGAATACTGAGCCAACATATAAAAAGCCTTTTCATGTATTTATTTAGAAATGTACGTAGAGTTAGAAAGCCCGATATAACCCACAGTCTGACTTACTATACCTTTTACAATGAAATGCCAAAAGTGATTTGTCAGTTTTTAAAAAAAAATCTTTATTTAATTAGATAATGTCTTATTAGATGTGATTGATTTTACAAAGGGTTGAATACTACTACAACTACTGCTAGATACTGAGATCTGCAACTCTCCTGTACCTTTATTATCCTAAGAACATGTCAGAGACCAGATAATAATGTTAGTCGAGATGCTGATGAAAATCGTTGTTGGTGTTTCCCTACTGATCCTCAATGCATTGTATAAACTACAGTAGTGCAGCTGTCATGCCATTTTAAGTTCTTCATATGTACACCCAAAAGTGCCACGCTATCTGTACTTTTGAATAAGACGTCTTGATACTAACACAAAAGCTTGATACTGTGCACAAAGAAACAAGGACATTATTAAAACAAGCAATTACTGCTTGGATTTATTTTGTACATGTACATAAAACTTCTTCTTACAATATCTAAGTGTTTGATTTTAAACTTACTCAAATTCATATATACAGAATAAGAATATGAGTCTACTGTAGGTACACTGACACAGATTTTACTGCACTAAAATAACTATTATACAAATGGCAAAACATTTCCTAGCTCAATAAATATGAAAAACAATCCCACTAAGAGAAAAACATTCTGGCACTGAATTAACTGTTTGCTTTGTTCCATGGACTTACATAATGTACATGTAACAGTGAAAGAACATTTCAGTTATGGGACATGTGATTGCAGCATGAACCACAATAATTACATTGTACATGAGTATTGTATTTTAAATCAAGATTACAGGTAGACTTCCACTATACAAATTACTGAATAATGTTGATTGATTTCACTCAGCATATACAGCTATGAATAACTTAAGCGTAAAAAATATTTTCTTAATAGAATTAGTTTAGACTGATTAAAAGTTTTGGTTAAAAAGGCAACATGTGCAACATACACTGAATAGACAGCTGCAGCCAAACAAAAACCTTTTTATAATATGTTCCACATAAAACCAAAACACCATTCGACAGTGATAGTGTGTTTTCCAGAGATTGCGCAATACATTCAGACTATAACATTCATAACAGGGCAGACCATAGTTATTCCAGACATTCGTAACATGTTTGCCAACCACGTTTGTGTAGCTCATTTGTTCAAAGTGCTTTCTTCCTCATTGTACAAATTTCTTCTAATGCAAAATCACATTATCCAATCACATGCATGTGTGTGCTGAACAGAAGAACACCTGTCTCATTTACACTTCTCATTAAGAATCCCCTTTACTGACAAGAGTAATAGGCTGTTTTGTTCCGGGCCGAACTGTAAAGGTCATACCATACTGATGTTTTGATGGCAGTCCATTGCTGAAAAGAAGAGCACATTCATGATTATGAGTGGACACAGTACCTAAACACTGGGCCTATTGCCTCAAAAAGTGAAGGTGTCATATTTGAGCACTTACCTGCTAGGAACTTTGATTGGGGAGGTCTCCTGATATTTTTTGACCACTTTCTTCTCCAGCTCCTGCATGTCCAGAGCTGCTGATTTGTTGACCACAGGGTAATTCTTGCTCTGTGGTGTGGCCCTGGGGACAACAGGGACCTTATTGTCTTCATCGGACAAGGGGGTGCCCCAGTCATCAGTAATGGATTCTGCCTCCTTCACTGGGGCCATTTTGTGGTCCATTTCCAACATCTTCTTTTGTAAGATGCTCAAGAGTGTGGCCTGACTGGGTGAAAGAGTGGATGGTAGCTGAGGTGGGGCCACCTTGGGTTTTGTCTGGACTTGCAGCTTTGGTTTGACATCAATGTCAGGAGGTGGGAGTTTTGGAGCTGCTGGGGGTTTAGGTTTCGGAGGTGGAGATGGAACTTGAGCTGGAGGGAGAAAGCTCACAGTTGGTGTGGGTGCCTTTTTCATGGGAGGGTCAGGTGGGGGGATAGAAGGAGGGGGCTCCATAATGTCGCCTAAATCATCAAACTCTGGTGGTGGAGGAAGTAATGGCATACTTAATTCCTCTTTATTATCGTGCCGCTGGGTGGATTGAGACATTGAGAGACTTTGTTCTGCACTTTGTTTCTGCTCAACCAGATTGCTCGGACTTGAGGAAACAGCCATGCTACCTAGAGCCGGACTGGTAAATGGCATCTGATTCTTGACCAGCGCAGGACTGCTGGATTTCTGTGGAGTCTGAATTGTTTGTGTATCTTCCAAAGGACTGGCAGACTTTGGACTCTCCTGTATTGTGTCTTGAGATGTTAGAGAAGAGGATGAGCTGGACCTTGGAGTGACAATAAAGGAATTGGGACTTGAGTCACTCGGGTGAATGGATGCACTAGGCTGCTCATTCTTCTTGGCACTGTTTTCCCGTGACAGAGGTTGAGTTGATCTGTGCTTCTCTCTTTGTTTAGCCGCCATTAAAAGAGCCAGTGGAGAAGCTACAGGTCCCTCTCGTGCCCCGTTGGTTTCACTACTCCTCAGGTTGCGTAGTTTACGATCTAATAACGGACTGAATTTGCGACTATAAATTGGAGATCCTTCAAGTTTATCCTTGCTGGGCTCTAAATTCACCAAAGTCTTGTTCACTTTCAGAAGCTGTGGTGATGTCTGATGTGGAGTCTGGACAGGTTTGTGTATTTCTGGTGGTGTTGAAACTGTCCCTGTTTTAGCCTCCTTGCTTGTCTCAGGCAGGTGTGATTGAGAGGGTTGGGTAATTTGTAAGTTCTCCTTCAGCTCCTGTACATCTTTGGGAACTGGTTTCGGTGGTGTAGGCACTTTAGGGGCTTTCCCATCGACCTGGACAAGCACCGGGGCTGATTTGACAGAACCAGAATCTTCCAGGATTAACATCTGCTTGGGTCTTGTGTCGCGATCATCATATCCGCTCAGAATCGAGGTTTTAGGATTATTGTAAAGCTTTGCTGTATTTTGGGGATTGAAGGTGGATAGTGTGGGTGTCTGCACAGGTGGAGGTGGGGCAGGAGTCTGTGGTGGGGAGTCATTTGTGGAGATAGAGGACAGTCTAATAGGTTTGGGGGGTGGTGTCTTAAAAGTCTTGTGTTGCCTTTCAGAAGGGGGTTGTGGTGGGGCATATTTTGGACGGTCAGGAACTGGGGCAGGTGGCGGACTAGAAATGGGTACGGATGATGCAGAGCCATTAGAGCTAGTAGATGGAGGCTTTGGTGGAGCCATTGGTGGCGGTTTTAAGAAGGTTAAGTCTTCCTCCTGCATAAACGGTGCCAGTGAAGTGGGTTTTGGAGCGGGCATGGAAGGAGGCTGAAGGGTTGTCAAGTCTAGACTGTTCAGGTCACCCATGAAGTCTGGAGGAGGGATAATCCCTGGTGGAGGTGGAGGTGCCATAGAGGGAGGAGGTGGAACAAATATATCCCCCTCCACAAAGTCAGGCACAGATCCATTGGACAAACGATCTCCACTGACTATGGAAAAAAAAGAAGAGCGAGAATAAGTGAGAAAAGTTAAGTGCTGTTGTACACTGTGGAGCAGGAGTACTAACAGTATTTAAAGTGTTGCTGTCCCATGTGTCAAGCATTTACATAAATTAGAAATATTCAGAAGCATGTGAGAAATGTTAAGCATTTCAATAAGTTAGTAAAAATACAATCAAATTCCTAGATTTATTGTGGACATATATTTACCAAAAAGCAGAAATAACTAGTTAGATCATAAAGAATCAAATTTAATGCTGAAATAAATTCTAGAGTTTAAAGGCCGATAAACAAGTAAGATGATCTTACATAGATTTAGAAATGAATGATACCCATATCTTTCTATAAATGCAAACACTCCCATTCTGTAAATATGCTTGCCATCTGGTATGGCTGTTTGGACACATTCATGAGAGTTATTGAGCAACTGCCTGGACAAACATTTACCTGCCCTGCATTTTCAAGCCTTTAATGGGCACATTCTTATTGGCATGATCCATCAACCGAGTCTGAGTAAAGGCACCACAAACGATCAGAGTGTCAATAATGAAATTCTAGCATTTAGATGTTAAACTTAAAGTACATATTTGAGGTAGGTAGATGCTCACCTGAACCGTTGATCTTTGGACCATTCATAGGGGGCATGAGGGGGACTTTGGGTGTTGGGACAGCAAATCCTTGAAAACTGTCCAAACTTGAGGACTGTGAGGGAAAGAAAACAAACGCAAACTGTTTATATTTTAAACATCTAAGACACAAGAAACAAAGCATGATTCAAGAACATCAGTAAACATGAGATTAACTCTACATCCTGTCCTAGAGGTCTGAAAAGACTTTTTTCTTACTGGCAAGTATTGTGAACAAACCGGTTTTCCACCAATGCAGTTCTCGACATTCCTTGAAAACAGATTACCGTGTCCAACACATTATCAGCATTAATAGAATAGAATAGCTGCTGCCAAATAATTCCATTGACTCTCAGATCTTGGTATTATAAGGAACCCTGTTGCAGTGAACATATTAAAATGTGTTCTGTCACAAAATTAAATTCAACAATTTACTGCAACTTACTGTAACAAAATACATTAAACTCAGATGTCTGTTTCCAAGTGCATTTTTTTCAGACTATTCTTAAGTTTGCCATGACTAAATGGGAGGTGGAGGTTTCCAAAGGATCATTTTTGTACACAACACTTTCACATACTTTGCTCATGAGGAGCACTTGGTGAATCAGAGGATACACCTATTATTCATCTCATTGTCTACTGTTAAAAGTAGGCCTGGCTGAGAAAATCACAGGCTGTCACATAGATACCGGTGTGTTTTGTGTGTGTGTGTGTGACCGAGGGAGATTTGCTGTTCTCCTCGTGGCCCAAACGCCACTTTAAATAAACACAGACTGTGTTGACACAATACAAGTCCATAAAAGTTAACGGGGAATATGCCCTTCGAAAGGGCAAAAAAAAACCTTCCAACGCAAAACATATTTTTACTGCTGTGCCTCTTGACGCTATTGTGCTGCAGGCTCTTTGAGTACTCTGCTAATGCAATAAAGCAACAAGCTCACTTCAAAAAGTATGGCTGGTAATGAATTAGGATAAAGGTTGCTGGGATACTGTTTTTCAGCCCTTTAAATGCTTGTTTTTATACGTGTAATGTATCTACTCAAAGTCCATAGATACAGACACAGTTCTTATACATAGAATAAAACTGCTCTCACTTTATGGGCAAACTCAGCCAACAACCCACTTCCCAAAAAAGTCAAACATCTCATTTTGAGACAGCTGCAAGCTTAAAAGTACAAGTGGTTGAGATTAAAATAAATTAGACATCGGCCTGATATCACACCTTAAATGACACTACTCCCTCTTTACTAATAATTACAGGACACTTATGTAGTTTCTTTGAAAGGTATGAACACCAGGGCGTGTCAGTAAAAATGGCGTACAAGCCAGTTTGACTTCCTCTGTTTGTTCCGTGCACTCTGAGTCACTTACATCAGTCGCAGTAGTCTGAGCTGTCCTGCCTATGTGCTGCTGGGTGTGCCACATCCAGCGCATGCCACAGACGTATTCACAGAACACTCCCAAACACTGAGGTGTGTGAACCAGAGCAGAAATGAGCTTTTTATTTATATCTGCACCATGACGATATAATGGGAGGCCTGACAGACTATGTAGGGTTGTGTAGTGCTATGAGTGAAGATAAGTCTTCCAATACCACTTAAAATGAAAACTATTGCGTAATGACAGTAGGACAATGCAGCAATGTATTGGGATATCTACACTTGTGGTACTTTTAGTGAAAGTACAGATACTACAAAGTAAAAATCCTACATTACAAGTAAAAGTCTTAGTCTAAGTACAAAAGTATTATCAGCTAAATGTACTTCAAAAGTGCTTATAATGCTGTAGACTGGCCTATGTGAGTGTTAAACTGCACATAAGGGACCCCAACTAGACTAAATATTTCAATAATGGGCTGTATGAGCTGGTATGTTTTGTAAAATCTAAATCTGAAAAGTAACTACTAAGTGTAGCTGTTAGATAAATGTAGTGGAGTAAAAAGTATAAGTAGTATCAAGTTGAACTAAACTAAAGTAAACTATAGTAGAAGTAACTCAGAACTGTACTTAAGTGAATGTACTTTCCACCACTGGTGATACATTATCAATACCAAGCATGGTTGTTTCTGTTAAATGTATGAATTACCGGCTGTACATTGTAAGGAATGTCTTCAATTCAGATATGCAGTTTTAAAATTAAATGAAGCAGAGACACCTGACTGCTATAAATACATAAAGCTCTGTACTGTTTATGACTTACTGTTGACTTTTTTTGTCTTACAGTAAGATAATAAGATATACCTGGATGGTGATACCATCTTTATTGTGGACAACATGATAATATCACATTGTGAGTTATCTATCACATAGTCATATTGCTTATCATTTCAGATAAATGACCCCCACATGGGAGTATAGTTTAGATATTATAAGGGAAAGTCATTTTCACCAAACAGATCTGTTCAGATTCATACATGTCCAGTGCTTATTTAAACTGAGCTGAATTCAAACACACTCTACACGCTCAACTGTCCTTTATAAGGTAATTTGCATCAGAGTTCAAGATGAAGTAATCCTTCAGTTGCAGGTAAATGACAGGGTGGAGACTGTTCATACGCATATCTTATGTTATTCCAAAGTCAGAAACTGAAAGATAAACGTAAATATCAACAGTACTGTCCAAGCACCACAAAGCTTTACTGAGATACTCACAGCGTGATGCTTGACGGTGGGTCTGGCCCGCACACTGGCAGTTCCCGACTCGGGGATCGCTGATGATTCCAGCACCAGCTCTGCATTATCTGAGGAAATAAAAAAGATTTGAATCTCTTTCCAGCCTTTTGTTAGCAACACAAGTTTCAGTTCATGATTTTAGCCATTCAATTTCTGGTCAAATCAAAGCTCAGCATACGAACAGTGGGGGTTGTGAAAACAACCAGATATTTTTCTATTTTAAAGAACAATAAACTCATTGCTGACTCTGGGTTGTCTGCAACATTATCCGATATTTATGATTATTTTTATACAAATCCATTTGTTTCTAAAATTTGTTTAATTTCAACCTTTCAAAGTGTCCAACTGTTCTTCTTTCAGGTAAGATTAATACATTCTTGTGATTGTGCTGGTAATTAGATGCACCAAAGGGGCCTCTTAGTAGCTGTCACTCAACCTAAAGGTCTACTGTGTGATTCTGTGTGTGGTTACAGGCAGTTTTGTTGTTGACAACTAAATAGTTATGAGAAAATGAACGGATCTGTTAACCATTATGTGAAAAGCTTCTGGCAACTGAATTTAATTAATCACAACAAGACAGTAAGGTAATAATGTGAATCATATTTAAACATTTCTTGGGACGAATTTAGGCTAAATTAATTTGAGTTGTATATATATTCACTCTCTCCAAAAGAACTGGCATTTCCTGTCTGCTGAACATTACTGTTATTGTTGCTTTTAAAGTTCTTCATGTATTTACTGTTTCTACTGTCAACAGCAAAGCATAATGATGATGTACGATCGTGCATAGAGATATTTATAATCTTCACTGTAGTTCAGAAAATGGTCTGATGTCTTTATCTCACATTTGTGCTCCTAGACATTGGCCACGTGGAAGAGGACATCTAAAAGATCACTGAGACAAAGACCTGAAAACTAAACTTATCCAACTTCAGATGTAGAAGTACAAAGACACAGAGCAGGACATCTGAAAACCTCATTCTGCTAAACCAGCTGATAAGATCAGAGGTCATTGGGGTTGGCTGGAGAAAAATAATTTAGAAGTCGCAGATTCATTTGCTCTTCATTCCAGTGTCAGTCATCTTGTTTGTCCAACAAGTGACTGGTGACAGAAACTTGTCACTATGAGGCACTTAGTCTGCCTTCTAGAGCAACACTTTCCATTCGGGCTGAAGAAAGATCAACCGAAGAGCTTGACTTATGCAACAAGGAAAGGAATGTTTCTTTCTTTACTATATGAGCAGAAGAAACTGCTGTGGTGTTAAACCAGTCTAGCCAAATTATTAGTTTCCCTATTGTGCACCTGTCTGATTTAAATAGACAAATGTTCTCTCTCATGTTGTGGTTTTGCATAGCTCTTGTTTCCTGCTCAATCAAATAGAGCTAATCTCACATAGATCCACACAGTTTATCAGTAAACTGATATTAACACGTGAGCGTAGACACTGTCTGGGAGTCTGTGTTACCTTACGATTGTGGTACAATTGGCTCTTAAGTTATCTTTTCCTGGTCTTAAAGGTTGCGTTACATTTGACCACAATCTTTTTATTATTGAATTGTCTGAGCTGAGTGAAATATACATGAATATATGGTCATCCTTTTTTCCACTTTGGTGTTGTAATTTGACAAATAAAAGGGTCCACTTGCAAAAGTTGTTACGATACCGATACCAGGATCGTAAAGTCCTTCAATGCTAACATACGATATTGGGTATTAGTGAGTACGCATCTGTGCACTGATCCGATGCCACCTAATTTATTATCCTTGCTACTTCCCAACAGCGCCATATTTTTCCCACCCTACTGTGATCCTGACAGGGGGTTTGACCTGAACAATGATAGCAATCATAAAGGTTTAATGGTATACGTTGTTTGAAAATAATAATGTATGTATCTATTTACAGTATCAGATTGGTATTCTGTATTGGACGATACGCGAAGTTCAGGTATCAGAATCAGTTTGGGAAAGGAAAAAATGGTATTGGAACATATGTAACACTTACTATCTCTTTATAGAGCTTTCAACTGTATCTCATGGTCTTCCTCAGCAGATTAAGTTTGTTCAGTTGTAGCAGTATGTATATATGATGCTATATGTTACTATCTTATAGTACTAACAATGGCCCAAATTCCCAAATCCTTAAAATTGTGTATTGATATCAAGGTATTTAAGCAAAAGTAATGTGGTCGTATAATGTGATGTATCTTCCAGCCCTATTGTCCAGTTTTCTTCAGGATATTTCACCTGTAATAAATAAATAATAATCAATAGAAGCCCAAGAATACAGCTGACTCATATTCACTTAAACAACAGGTCAGAACTGTAATAATCACTAAAAGCAGCTGTTTTAGACATCATTCCAGATGTAGATTGCTGGATCTCGGAGATATTTAGTCAGTTGCCCACTTGGCTGGAGTCCCAAACCTGCCTGTCCTAAACCACAATCCCTTATTTTCTCAAACCATTCACAAAACTACACAAAGTGAACAAAATGTGTGGAGGACAGAGGGCAAGTCAGTATGAAGCCAGACATGTAAGGTCACCCAGATTTACCAAGAAGGGACGTTAACATTTGAGAAAGAGGGTTTTCTCATGGATTAATCCCATTCACTTCATGGCACCTGCTCCTATCTGTTCATCAGGCATAAAGAAACACTAAAATACAGATGAGATTTCCTTTAGAATCAGCAGTTATGAAGTTTACACAGCCTACACTTTTGTCCATGTCAACCACAAGTACAAAGGTCGTGTTACTCTTCAGTGACTCGTTCATGTTGATATTTATATTCGCCATAACATCCTATAGGCCCTGTGGGCAGTGTACTTACCCATGTCCTTGAATTTGATATTGGTGTCGAAAAGAGACTGGTTCTTCCGACCCAAGAAGTTCAGCGTTCCCCTCTTCATGATTATTGATTGGTTGATGTGTTGATACGACTGTTCGGCTCAGGCTGGATTATTGACGCATTTTGATGAACAGGTAAAATCCGAGGCGAGAAGTTGAGCAGGTGAACCTTCGCGAACAGGTGCTCCAGCGCTCAACAGGTAAACCTGATTCCAGTGATTTGGTGCAAACTTTTTCAGGACGGAGACAGAGAAAATGGAGCTAACCCCGCCCACTCTCCTTTCACTGTTCACCTCCCTGTTTTCATACACTCCCCAACAGGTGAGGCCTCGGCTCTCCTTTTTAGACACATTCCAGCACAAAGCGCACCTGAGTTTACCTGTGGCACGACTAGTCTTTAATTCGCTCGCTTTAAAGCACACTGTGAGTCATCATCACAAACACCTCAAGGCATTGTGGTCTACCTGCTTGGTAAAGGGCTGACATCGGGCCAGTTTGATAAAATTCCCGTCATAAAAATGCTCGGGTACACAGTTTCATTTTACAACCTTGATAATAAAAAATAAAAAAAGCCAAATGGGCTTTTATTTACAGATGGGACACCAAAGGGAGACGGTGTTATGGCTTTCAACAAGAAGTAAAATGCTGACGGGAAATCAGCTGTTTTGCTCTTATGGTAATAAATGTGTAATAAAACAGTTATCCTGTATATGAAGAAGTCAACTTTATTATTCTTTATTTCTGTAGCACCTTTTTAAAAGCAGAATTATAAAGTGATCCAGGTGAAAAGTTTTTACTCAAGTTCTGTTTTTAAATAGGTGGAAAGTAACTAAGTACATTTACTTAAGTACATTAACTTCTAAGTTACTTAAGTGTTTTAAGGTTATGCTACTCTCTACTTCTATTTCTGTATTTTATATTGTACTTTTAACTTAATTATTAAGAATCTGTGGTTATTAGTTACTTTAAATTAACCCCAACAGTATAAAAAAGAATAGGATTAGCTCTACTGCTGCTGGCTACAACATTAAAATACGTATTAATACATTGATAATAATAATCTAATAGTATAACAATAATGTAACAACAGAGCCCATGTTTGGCTGCATAGTGAGTACTTACATTTTGAATGTAGGAGTTTTATTTGTGATATTGCTACTTTTACTTAAGTAAACAGGTGACACTTTGATTAGGAATTTGATTGATTCATTAACTAATGGTTCACTAGCAGTTAGTGCCTCATTTGTTCCCTGGTAACAACTCAAAATGTTGTGTCCCTTATTGTAAAGTGTTACCAGCAAAAGATCTTAATAGTTCTTCCACCGCTGTTAAATACAACTTTAATGTCTTTGTGCTTGAGTATTTCCATCTCATTCTACTACACTTGCACTCTACTTGTATTGTGTGTTTTACTCCACAACATTTACCCAAAAGCATATAAAGCAGTTAAAAGTAACTCCAACCAGCTACAACATTACAAGTACTGCTTAATGCATCATCAATAATAATCCAATAATTCATACTTTAAATACATTTTGCTGATAATGCTTACGGATATTTACATAAGTTAGAACTGAATGGAGGACCTTTACTTTTAACTTAATGAGTATTTTTACAGTGTAGTATTGCTACTTTTACTTTAGTGATCTGAATACAACTTCTATCATAGGGTGACCTGCAGGTGCACATTAAAGACCATGAAATACAAGTAAATACAGTGAATCCAGGAAATGGTTAAACATGGAGAACTAAATCAAAATAAAAAGTCTAATTATTTGTTATAAAAATGCCAGCCTATCCTCAACCTAGACTGTGGAACTTTTAATAGGATTTCATTAGAAAAATATATATTTTTAAAACATATAATGGAGCCAAACAATGGACTTAAAACCATCTTTAACTGAATTCTTAAATATGTAATCCATTCAGGACTGCAGAGATATGTTCTCTGCATTCAGTGTTTGACAGAAGGCTTAACATAACAATGTGCCATGCTATTTATCCCTCTGGGTATTTGCTCAGTTATTTATTAATTATGGCTGAGGCATTAAGTTTTTGTTATGAATCCCTTTTTTATTTTTTTAATTGCCTGAATTCCATGGTGTTATTGACCTAAGGATTGTGAGCCGTGTGATCATTGTCCGCAGGATAAATGTAGAAGAGTCTTGGATAAAGAGGATCAAGAATCCTCTAAAGCTCAGAGTCAGCTGACCCTTGACAGTGACAACATTCACCTAATGCACATCTGACCTAAACGGTAATCTCTGTTTCTTCACGACCTCGGAGCAGAGGAAGTAACCAGTGTGTTTATTTCCAGTTGACATCCAGTGTTTAGATTACATTATTAGATTTATTGGTCTACCTAAAACTCCACATCGACCAGCTACAACATTAATAAACATTAATACGGTGCATCAAGAATGATTAAAGGGGAAATACCCAGGAAGGAAACATGATGATCTGTTGGTTGGGCTGGATTATACTGATGAAATCAAAAATCTCAATACTTTGGTCTGAATATTTTGTAATCAATACCCTATTTTATGGATTACAACTTTTCTTTGGCAATAACAACTAAAGATATAAATTATGTAATAATAATAACGACAGGCAGCATTATTTATTGTTGGATCTATTTCCTGGATTGGTATTTAACGTAGAATGACATATTTAAATGTTTTATCAGAAAATGAGGAACAGGGGGAGCCCCATGTCTTTAATTACATAACAGTGAAACTTTTGAAACATTAATGCTTTCCAGAAAACCAGTGTTTTTCCTCCTGGCTACAGTCACAGTGTTTCTGTTAAGTCTGTCTGTCGCACCTAAACCTCAGTTGTCCTGGAGACTGACCAGACTGGTCCATCCAGTTCCTCTGTCCTGAGAACTCTTCCCTACCAATGCTGGCTGAAATGTGAAGAATGTGCTGGCAAGTGCTTTTAACACTTTACCTGCTTCACTGTCCCGAACGTACTGTACAGGTGTGAGCAAGTAAACAGTTTGGGGCATTTTTAGCTCTCTTATTCAATCATTTATTAATTACTCATTGCTGCATTATAAGCATTAGGCACAATGATAGCATTGTGTTGTCTTTTAATTGCATGTCAACTAATAAACTTGATTACAAATTTGAGTTTTATCATGTTTTATTGAAACATGGCAGTGTTCAATATACAGCATTTCTTCTGATCAACTTCTGCTTTCCTTTGTTCCCATCTTAATGTATCCACAAATCATACAGGCACTGACTGTTCAGTAGCAAAATCATAAAAGAGTACGAAGACAGCTGACATTGTGCGTTTTCAGACACAGGCAGTAAAAGGAAATGAAGACCATGAATATTTTGCATTCCATTACGATGAATCAGTTGTAAATGTAATTGAAACTACAGATGATATCATACCTGATATATTGTTGTGGAAGAATGTGTGTCGTTGCTAAGAAGAGAAAAGCCGGTTCAGTGTATATCAGCATTATTGATGTGTCACTTTTACCAGAGTGATTTAGGTATGTCTATGTGCACGTTGTTTGCTCTGTGTACTTTATGCTTCTGTGTTGCATGTTTCAGTTAGTACCTGGCAATGAAGTCCTGATGATGTCTTGGATTATATATTTTTAACCAATATTATTATTCCCTAACTATTATTCTGCATGCTTACTAACTTATTTTAATAGAAGACTTCATTTTAATGTTATAATATTTTATTGGGTGAGTATGTAACAAGGACAATAGATTAAAATGTGACTTTTAGACAACTTTTTGTGGGTAACTCCCTTCTCCCTGTTAAAAAATAAAAAATAAAATAAAAACATAAAACAAAATGTCATTCACCTCCATTGGTGGAAGCAAACATCTTCATGCTAAGGCAAATATTAGCACAGCTAGATAACACTAAGTAGGTGTTTTGTAATTTTGGGGAACTGGACCTTTAACCTTTTAACATGCTGGGAAGTTTTACACATACACATCTCCATCCAGTCCAACAAACCAGCTATAGATCCGACAGCAGGTGGGGGAGCTTTAAGAGGCTCTAAAGAAACCCAGTGGCTGCAATTCCTACAGTTAAACTAGGGTAAGCTAAAAGACCACTTAGGACTAAAGTGAGAAGACTTAAGGAAAGGAGCTTTATGAATATGGACAAATACTCTCAAACTCATGTTTGCCTTACATAGCTGCAATGCTGTATTTTAAAAATGAGTCCTTGATAGTCCGTTTTCTAACTTACAGTCCAAACACACATTGTATGCATGGACTGCTTCGACACCTTTTCAATATAACAAAAGGTTAATGCTGCATTTTATGGTTGGCTTCCATTTTTATGTTTGCTTTTTCTTTTCACCTGGGTGTCAATGAACCCCTCGCTGGGAGGTTGAGTTCATGTAACAGAGGAATAACACATTCACAGTGCTGACTGAGGGATGGCCCAAACTCCCACAATCCCAACACCATCTGAGTTGCAGTGGCCCCCATTTTATCTGCGAGAGGACCAAATAACATCCGACAATAAAGCAAAATCATGGTTTATGATTTTGTTTTATAGTCAGTCCACCACTTTGGTCCAGACTGAAATATCTCAACAACTGTTGGCTGGATTGCCATGAAGGTTTGTATAGACGTTCATGGTCTCTGGAGGTGCCTACTGACTTTGGTGAACCTATTATTTTTCCTCGCCACCATGACGTTGAGTTTTTTAGTTCTTGTATATATCGAATAACAACTATTGGATGGTTCACTGTAAAATATTGTTTATACATTCATGGTCCCCAGAGGATTATTTAGTGCTAATTAACAAATATTAGCATGCTAACGTATCAAACCTATGGCTGATTGAGCAGTAATACTTGATATTTGATTCATAAAAGCTGGTCAGAAATCTTTTGGTCAGCTGATGTCATCGTGTAGCCTACATAGGGGTTTGGCTTCTGCTCTTAGGTCTCCTCAAAGTGGATTAGCCTACAACCTCTGAGCCTTTCACACACACACACACACACACACACACACACACACACACACACACACACACACACACACACACACACACACACACACACACTGATTCCTGCTGTTTGCAAACAGTTTTTTTTCTGTCCACATACTGGCCATGCTCGGATGCCTGGTGGATGCAGTACGTTCTGGTTATGATCTTTACAGGATTTTTTACATATTTTACAGACATGGGAAACTCTGCGGGTGTGGAAGAACTCCAAGCTTGTGAGAGTCATCAGTGGTACAGAAAATTCATGACCGAGTGCCCATCTGGACTTCTCACCTTTTATGAGTTCAAGCAGTTCTTTGGCCTGAGGAATCTATCGGATGCATCAAATGCCTACGTTACGACTATGTTTTCAACGTTTGATATGAATGATGTAAGACCATTTATAATCTTCTGGCAGGTTTATACAATTATTCTTATCATACTGTATCAGTAAAGGTGTAAATGTACTCATCATTAGTTACTTTTCTTCTTTACTGAAGAGCATTGAAATTAAATACAGTGCAATATTTACAACCTTTGTACTAAAAGAAGGCTTAGTTTACATTCAGTGTATGTATTTGCAGGTATGTATCTTATGATAAATCTAGTAATATAAATAATCTAAATCATACTTGTAATATTTTAATAATACACAAAAAAGATAAATGGAGTTATACTCATCATCCTCATCAGAGAATCCACAAAGATTTTATTTAAATTATTTCTGTTTATTTTTTACGTGGTTTATTTCTACCAATTACATCTATTTCATGTCTATTAACTATGAGCAAAGAAACAGGTTCATGTTTATTTCTTCTTTTTTGACAGTGAAAATATTTTTGCTTTAGTGTCTGTTTGGATTTTCATTAGAGTAAAGTTGTTGTTGTTATTTCTGCTAATAGAAATATGTTTACGAGGAACTTATTCTATTAGAGAGGGGTCTTATCCCGTTGCTGCTGCTTACTTAACTGACCCATAACCTTAAACAAGACAGGTGCAACTTCTTTTTACATACGTGTGACTAGGAGCAGGCGTATGCAAATACATCTCTCTGTTAGACTGTATTATTATGTCATTTCTGGTGGTGTAGAACAGTGTAGCAAAAATTATTAACAGCCGGCCCACAATTCCACAATTTGCCTGTTTTTTTTATTGTTTTATTATCTTTGTGGCAGTATACCTTGAATGCCACCCTGCTCTGCTAATGACAATGTTCATGGTGTCCTTTTCTTTTCTAGGATGGCTTCATTGATTTCATGGAGTATGTAGCTGCTCTGAGCCTGGTGCTAAAAGGAGGAGTGCAGCAGAAGCTCCGCTGGTACTTTAAGCTGTATGATATAGACGGGAGTGGCTGCATTGACCGTGAAGAGCTTCTTCAGATAATCAGGGTGCGCATGAGCCTTCATAGCTTAGTAAAAGACCTAGTAACAACCTGCTAAGTCCACTGGTGTCTGAATGAGATACAGAGCACAGAAAACACAAAGGTGCAGAGGCAAGTAGATGACACTAAACTGACATCTACTGGTTGAAGAAATATATGCAACAATTTATCAGTACATGTACAGAAGTATTATCAGCTCAATGTTATCAGCTAAATCATTAGATTGTTAATATTGAAGCATCAATTCTTAAGCAGCATAATAGATTTTGAAGCTGTAATTACTTATATTTACTATTAGGCAGTTTCACCCAGTGGTCGGTCCCCCTTAACAGGGTCAGAAGATAAATCTGAGAGGTGTCAAGATTATTATTGGGGAATAAAAGTCCTGCAACAGTTTTTTTTTTTAGCATTTTGAGGGACTTTTCTGTAGTCTCTAAGCTTTTTGTGTGAGTTTTACCTTGTGTCGCTTCAGACACAACTTTATTTCAAATCAAAATAGTACTTTAGCGGGGACATAGACAATCTGAATCTGTAAAGTATCCATAATAACTAAATAAAGAAGTAAAAAGTACAACATTTAAGTAGCATCAAATAAAAACATACAAGCAAAGTACAAGTACCCTCGTACTTAAAGGTCCAGTGTGTAACATTTAGGAAGCTTTATTGGCAATTTAATAGAGAAGCCGTCTTTCATGGAGGGTATGGACAAACCAAACACTGGCTCTTGGTAGGGCCACTTGCGTCTTCGAGTGTTTCATACCTACCATTGTTTTACCTTTGCACTTGGAAGGGGAGGGTGAAGCAAGGGAGTTGCAATCTGAAACTACACCACAACTATATCCTACAGACTGGACCTTTAAGTACAGTACTTGTACTTAAAGTTACTTAGTTACTGTACACCACGGTTCCTTAATATGATCTCTTTTCTTTGTGTTTTGTTCAGTCGATCCGTGCAATCAATGGAAATGATTGTGAGATGTCAGCCGAGAACTTTGCTAACATGGTGTTTGACAAGATTGACATCAATGGAGATGGTAAGACCCTGGGGTGAAATCTTCAGTCATACATTTGGCAAACCAACCAGGTTGGGTGGATGTGCAAGAAAAAAGACAAATATCTTAACCAGGGCAAATTACTCATTAAATATCTCCATCGACATTTGAGGATTTGAGTTCAGTTTGTATGTTTTCCAGGTGAACTGTCCTATGAAGAGTTCATGGAGGGAGTCCAGAATGACGAAATGCTGCTGAAGACGCTAACAGAGAGTTTGGACCTGACACACATTGTCCAAAAAATTCAAGGAGAGTTGAGGGCTAACATCTGATATTTCCAGCTCTATGGACCCTAAATGTTTTTGTGTAACTGTGCCACAGCCGAATGATGAAGATGTGGTTTCAGGATGATCCGCAAATCATAATCAGAACAAATGGATGTGGACCGACCTCCGGGTCATTGTCAGAGTACACCACGGTTGTACTGTTTTGTTTTTTCTTCACCTATTCATGGGCCGGCAAGGACTGTCCAGCTATATTGAAGTTGTACTCAATGAATATGCATCTAGAAAACTGAAACACGTATTCACAAGATTTCTACTGATGTGACAGATATTCACAATGAAAACAAGTCCGGATTCTACCTTATGATAAAATGTCTACTTATCTTTGGTCAGCTTCAGGTTCTGACGTAACCAAACAAATTCAATAGGTCCACGTTATACAGACAAGTTAATAATTTACATAAAATGCTGGCATCCTCCAGGTGAAATGAAACACTGCATGATTTCTGTCCACTGAACATTAAGTGCCATTATTGCCATGGATTTTAACCATCGCATGCTGTCTGACGTCAAATACATGTTGAACTTTTATGTGTTTAGGTAAAAGCTACTATACCAGCAGAATCTGGAGACCTCTTAACTTCCTTAATAATGTATTATATATTCTGTACAGTAAATCCCCCTGAGATTTCCCTTCTTCTGAGCCATTGTAGGAGTGTAATGTAAAGTATTTTTATAAAGCCTTTACAGCAAAGCTCTTTTATGCCTTCAAAGATTTTCATGCAAAAATGACCTACACTGAGGTAGACTCACTGGACAGTAGCTGTAATGTACATTTTAAAATAAACAATAAACTTATCAGAATCATGTGACTTTGTTCTTTAATCAGCCTCTAGTTGTTCCAGCGTCATCAGAAGGCATCCAGCCCGCACAGGAAAAACATAATTAAGCTGGCAAGAAGGAATCCTTTTGAATGTTGACAGTTTATTATTCTTTAGGACAATCATCAGGATGTGTGTATTTGTATGTATGTCTGTAGCCCTTTCTCATTGTCATATGACTGAAAGTAAAGTAACTGTCAACAACAAACTAATATCGGTTGCAGCTTTTTTACAACTCTGACAAGTTTTTAAGTGTTGTTGTTCTTCACTTGTCAATTGACTGGCTCAGACTGACACAGAAGAACTGGACAAATTTGACAAGGAGCTTTTTAATGACTTTGTTGTACAGTAGTTCCCAAACCTTTTGGCTTTGGACCACTTAAAATCAATTAGTATTTATTGGGACCCTTCCTCTCGGGTCATAGCTTTAATGTGGACAGTTTATGGGAGTTTTTCCTCTGGGTTGTTTCATTTGACTGATTTTACTGACCTGGACACTGGAGAGGAGCAGTGGTGGTGGTGGTGTAATTATGTGTAAAACAAGTATTTTTTCTTCATCCCTTTAATCGTCTGGTGACCCCTTTACAGTAGATGTATGTACCCTTTGGGGGACAATGACCCTCATGTTGGCAACCACTGCATACATTATGCCCATTGTGATGCTACCGACAGCTGGCACTAAGCCGACGACCCAAAAACAACCCCACACTCAAGTACAAGCATCCATCCCAGACTGCAAAACGCATAATTAGCATCACACACACACGGCAACAGGCTCAATGCGTATATTGTGCCGAAACCAGGAACAACAAAAGGTAGATGCTGACAGCCGACACACGCTCCCAAAGCCATGAGTAGTTTCAGGGAGTGGTTTGTTGTTGTCGGCCTGTACGACTGGATCATCATCAGCCGTCCACTTGACTTGTGCCACTGTTGCTACCGGTCTGAGTCAAGTCATGGATCCTGTGTTCAGTTCTGGATGCGGGCCAGGGATTGGGATATATCAGCCTAGACCATAGACTTGTAGCCCATAAGCTACTTATAGGCTAGGGTTAATAATAATAATACTGTAGCTATGCATTTTTATGCTCAGCAATTAACATAAAATTACAGAAAAATAATTAGAAATAAATATAAAATGTAATTAGTACAAATATTTAAACTATATGAACATCATTGGAAAAAAATAAGAAAAATTGTTTTCTACAAACCCTAGCAAACTAAAAGTATTTATTGATTATTGATTATTCTGTAATTCTAATGTAATGTAAAACGATTATTGACGTAAAAACAAACACAGCTGTCAATATTGTTTTAAATACATGTGGCCATAACAAACTGTAAAACAACCCAATTATAACAGCTTTAATTAAAACATTAAAACATTCTATCTCCAGATGAGGATCATTGTATATGATTATCTATTCTCATAAGGCTCATATAAAACACATCTTATTCTCCTCGAGGTTGGTTCCCGGGAAAAGAAAACGTAACTGTCCACGTGCTTCACGAGACGCCGCTCGGGAAAAGGGTGTGTCACCCTCATGACGTCACGCCCGTACCTGAGTTTCGGTGAGGGAAAAGGGGAAGGGCCATCCGAGGGGAACAACATCAGCTCTCCGCTGTTCTCCGAGGTTAACCTTTCTCCTGTTGTTATGCTCGCTCGCCGTCCAAGAAGCGGCCGTCGCTGAACTTTGTCTGGAGGCGACCGGCTGCGGGAGTTTCTGAACAACAGGCGCTTTTATCCGGTTGGTCCCGCAGACCGACGAGGAGAGAGAGAGAGAGAAGGCTCACACTTCCTGGTTCTCCACAGGTATGTGTGTCGTTCTTTGGTATCGTGTTTGGTCGCTTTGTTTATTTGAGTTTTGGATCAATTCTGCTGTAATTCTCACATTTTAGAAAGACATTGTGGGTCCTTTTACACAACTTTTAACCTGGTTATCGACCTGACCAACAAATAAGGTTTCCTGTGTCAAGGTGTGGACATGGAGGTTTAAAAAAAAAAAAAATGTTTGGAAAATCCGGATTTGCCGGATACGGCTGCAGCATTGTTTGTCACTGAGCAGGCCTGTATTGGATGTATCAGTGAGGTGGTTCAGAGTTTATAATCCGCTGTGGGCTGACTGCTCTGTGGGTTTTATTTCCTTGTCTGTCAGGATGTCAGTCACTCCTCGACGGGTCCGGCTGAAGCCCTGGCTGGTCGCTCAGGTGGACAGCGGGCGATACCCGGGTCTGGTGTGGATTGACCGTGAGGCCATGCGCTTCAGGATCCCATGGAAACACGCCACACGTCACACACCCCAGCACGAGGACGAGGACACCATATTTAAGGTAGGAGTCTCAACTACCTGTCTTTAACAGACCTAAAACTTTGAGGGTGAATGTATGTAAAGCGTTTGTTTACCTTGAGACAGACAGTCACCTCTGGCACTGCTGCACAGACAGGGAGCACATTGTAGTCCATTATGTTTCATCCCATGTTCAAGCAAGGTTTATGCTGGTTCATACCTGGTAATTAAGCTTTAAAAGGGGCCCAGTGGTTCAGCATAAACTCAAGACCTTTGCATGTCTCAACATCTGGTTTTGCAATCCAGGTACATAAATCTCTCTGGCCTTAAGCATTAGGGAACATTGGTCATATGTTTAGACCAAGGGTGTAAGGGATAGGTGTAGGTAGGTGACTGGGTCTGTATTTGTGTGTGCTGCAATCAAAGATCTTAGTCTGATGTTGTTGGGATCCATCTTTATGAGACTGTGTGCAGGTACATTGTGTATGTTCCTTGTATGAGTGCATTCAGTCTTCTTTTTGCCAAACAAGGCTGATGGGGAAGTGCTGAACACATAAACTGGGTGACATTGTACACATGCTTTATGAGAAAGGAAGAATTTTCGTGCGGTGTATCCCTTCACTTGTTTACTTCCCCTAGTATGGCTGTAAATATATTTCATAACCATGTCTCGTGCACATTAATCTACATGCTGCTTTAAACATCATCATCATCCACCTTTTGTAAAAACAGCACACACATGTGGATCCTGTGCAGAAATATAAAGCAGTTGTGACGAGGACGGTGATATTGATACCTCCGTGTTATTTAAATGTGCCTCCAGGCATGGGCTGTGGAGACCGGGAAGTTCCAAGAGGGAGTTGATGAACCCGATCCTGCGAAGTGGAAAGCTCAGCTTCGATGTGCCCTGAACAAAAGCAGAGAGTTCAACCTGGTTTATGATGGCACCAAAGAAGTCCCCATGAATCCTTTGAAGATATACGATGTCTGTGAGATCCCACAGCCCCTCAGTAACCAAGGTAAATAAGAGCCTCAATTCATCTTTACACATTTTCATGTTTCTTGTAATATTTACCCTTTTTAAAATTCTGTCTCTCACCCCACAGGGTCTTCAGATGCCGGTTCTTGGACTCCACATGATGAAGATGGTGGTGAGGAAGATATTCCAAATACACCTGAGTCCCTCCCTCCGTACCCATCCAATGGTATATGACTTCTCCTCAAAATGCATTTCATGTATTTATTGTGTATTTTATTATTTCTCAAAAAGCAGTGAGATGCAGTTTGATTTCTGTTAACAGCTAATTCTTCTCTCTTTCATCCTTCAGGCACCAGCCCCTCTCCTCTCATCATGTGGTCTCCTATGAGCTCAGAGTCCTCCATGCAGCCCCCTAGTTGCCCCCCTTCAAATGAGGTCTGGCCCAAAGAGGAGCCTGCTAAGATCTGGCCTAAAGAGGAGCCTGTGGATGTGGAGATGCACCCCACACCTTTAAATGACATGCCCCCCGCTCCTCTGCCTGACCCCTTAATGCAGCCCCCTCCTTTACCGGACGCTCTGTTTGCGTCTCCTGAAATGTGGATCAGTTCACTCCCAAGTAAGCATGGACTTCTTCTGGTATTGTTGTTGTCTCAGACTGCAGTCCGTAGAGTAGATGTAGAGGCGTGGATACCTGCTGTAGCTTTGGGGATAGCTACTATAGCTCAGTCCAGGGCTGTATGAAATGTTAACATTTGGAAAAGAAAATAATAAAAGAAAAGAGAAAAATATACTTTAGATAGAAAAGCAGGTGCACGGTGTTAGAAAGTTTTAATATTCTATAGATTTGTTATTGTTAACAAATCCAATTAACCACAACTAACACTGTGTTTTGTCTCAAGCCTCAACCCCACTGGTTCCATATATTCACATACATTTTCAAAAAAGGGTAGGACGTGTAATTTCCTAAGACAGTCTAGGGTTGCACAATTAATCCAAATGGCCATGTGCAATATGCAAATTGTGTTCAATTGCACTCTAATTGTGACTCATATTGCAATATCTGTCTAAATAATCGCAATATGATGTTTTTATATAATTTTTTATATCGTGCAGGCCTATTTTTTTTTGTTAGACTATTTCCTGCTGGTGACTCAGAGTGTTTGTCATAATGAGTGCAACAATGTGGCTTATTGATTTGATCTTAACACAGAGGAATAAGTTAGAACTTGTTAGAAATATTTTGCTGACAGTAAGAACATTATAGAATATCACCATACATATTTCTTTAATTAAACTTGATCTACACTGATATACCTCCAAACCCTTGGGGGCACTTCAGGTACAGTTGGGAGTTTTTTGGGTGAACTGTACCTTTTTCTTTTTTTTTTTTTTTTTTTAAGTTGTACATCGAACCTAGTTTTAACATGTGCCTTAATTTGTCTTTGACCCAGTGACGGACCTGGAGGTGCAGTTCCTGTACAGAGGGAAGGAGATGTGTCCCACAGCCACCGTCAGTAACCCACAGGGCTGCAGGCTGTTCTACGGAGACCTCGGCCCCATGGTCAACCAGGAGGAGCTGTTTGGGCCGGTGAACCTGGAGCAGCTGCGCTTCCCGACGACAGAGCACATTACCAACGACAAGCAGAGGGTTTTCACGAGCCGCCTGCTGGATGTGATGGACAGAGGCCTCATCCTGGAGGTCAATGGCCACGATATCTA